ACAGCAATTTTATTTTATTTTTCATTCATTCCTTTACTCAATAAATATGTGTACCAGCTGCCTGTTTGCCAGGCACTGAGACTTCTGTTTGCAGCAGCAGATGGTCAAAGCAGATCTGGGTTGCAACCTGAATACATGGTTCATAACCGTGAGCAGGAATCAAGGTCAAGAACCTCTCGCCCCAGAACCCCACTTACAGGGTGGGGAATGTGGCCAGTGGCAAGCAAGTGCACCTAAGAGACGTCCCTTTCTCAAGTGGGCTACTGCTCATGGCTCTGCAGGATGGACAGCAGGGGCTTGGAGTCAAGTGGCCACTGCAGACGGTTCTCAACCCGGCCAGATGTGCTGTCTCTGTGCTCAGAGTCTGTCTGCGCCTTCGGCTCTAGATGTACCTCCACAGGGGAGAGGACAACCTTCCCCTCTCCTAGGGGAAAGGAAACAACATTAACTGAGCATCGTCTATGGGTCTGGGGTGGCGCAGAGTGCTTTATATATATGGCAGACTAATATTTTTAGCTCTTAGTCTGTGCTTTTCTTCTAGTGCCCCAGCCAGAAGGACCTCGGAGAAGAACAGCTGTGTGGGGCTCAGACTCTGGGAACATGCTCAGTTGCCGGGGTGGCTCAGCTTTGGTGGGGTGGTCTGACGTCAAATAATCCAGGAAAATGGGGATCTCAGTGGTAAGCAGTGTAGACAGCATGAGGCCCAGGCTCACTCTTTTCCCACTGTGTGCGTGCATGTGTGTGCGCACGTGTGTGTGTGTGTGATGTGTTGTGGGAACAGCCCCGAAAATAGACAAGGCTAAATTTCTTCCTTACCGAGCAGGGTGAGAGCTCAGAATCCAAATTAAGTTGATATAATGTGGCCATGGTAGCAAAGACACTGGAACTCTCTTGTGTTGTGGCAGGAGTGGGAATGACACAGCCACTCTGGAAGAGAGTTAGCTGTTTTTTAATAGCACCCACTTATGGATCTTACCAAGCTGCTCCGCAGTCTCACCCCTAGGCACCTGTCCTGAAGAAATAAGAACATAATACCCAGTCTTTCTCTTTCTCTTCCAGCCCGAGGAGCTTTGGGAGCTGCGGGCTTTGGAGCGGGCATGGCTAAGTCCAAGTCCAAGTCCGAGAATCCCACCACACACAACCAGTCATGAAAATGGCCCAGAAATGGCATCAAGAAACCCCAGGCATGAAGATATGAATCTCTTTAGGAGCCAAACCCAGGTTCCCGAGGCACATGCGCGTTGCCAAGAAGTACAATAAGAAGTGCCTGAAGAAGGTGCAGGCCAACAACGGCAAGGCCATGAGTGTAGGTGCCGAGGCCTACCAAGGGCCTCATCAAGCTAAAGGAAGTTAAGTCCAAGATCCCAAAGAGCAGGAGCCATGAGCTCAATCGACTTGCCTACATTGCTCACCCCAAGCTTGGGAAACATGCTCTCACAGCGTTCGTTGCCAAGGGTCTCAGGCTCTGCCGGCCAAAGGCCAAGGACAAGACTCAGCCCAAGGGCCGGGCTGCAGCTGTGACTCCAGCTCCAGCCCCTGTTGTGGCTCAGGCTCCCAAAGGTTCCCAGGCCCCCGCAAAGGCTCCAGTGTAGAGGCTCCTATCTGCCAGCATGAGGACAGGAGGACTGGCAGGACCCTGGGCTTCTGTCTGTGTGGGGCTGGTGTCCTCCTGTGCTATTTGTACAAAGAAACCTGTGCTATTTGTACAAAGAAATCTATCAAAAAAAAAAAAAAAGAAAGAAAGAAAGAAAAGAAAAGAAAAAAGAAAAAGAAAAAGTGAGAAAGAGAACATATATCCACACAAGACTTGTTTACGAATGTTCACAGAAGCTTTGTGCATAATGACCCCAAACTGGACACCACACTGCCAGCGGGAGAGCGAATACACAGCCTCTGTGTTCCTACGACGGAGCAGCACTCAGCCATAAAGAGCACATACATAAAAAAAAAAAAAAAAAAAAAAAAAGCACATACATGTGACGAATGGGCGAACCTTACAAGCACTGTACTGAGGGCATTTCCATTCAAACGAAATTCTAGAAAACAAATCTATAGGACAGAAAGCAGGTGGGTGGTTGCCTGGAGCTGGTGTGGGGCAGGGGTTGCAGCCAAGGACAAGAGGGAACGTTCTGGGGTGTTGGTAATGTTCTAGAACCCAACTGTGGCAGGGGTTCTACTGGTGTATACATGCTGCAAAATCGATCAAACGGTATGCTTAAATGCTTAGATGCTCTTTATTGTGCGTATACCTTAAAACACTTAGGTTGACTTAGAGACAGTCAAGAAGTACAATCTGATCACACACCAGAATCTGCAGAGATCATTCCGTTCAGTCCTCACAGTACCATTGTAAGGGAGCCATCATTACCCTCCTTGTCAAGGAATTAACGATCCTGGTCAGGAATTGTTGCGGAAAACCACCCCAGTCCTCCTGTGTGTCTCCTTCACTCTGATGCCACCACCGCAGTCACAACACTTCTGATACCAGATATATGTTGGGGGAGGGGGAGGAGTTCCTCCAGCAAGCAATCATGTGACACCAGCTGGGGTCCTACAATTTATCTCAGCTCGGACACTGTACACCTGGAGATAGCATCCCATCCCATAGGTTAAGGGCTCAGTCCTGGAAGACTTCCACCCCCCAGCCCCTGCTTCAGATGCCAGCCGCAAGTCCAGGTTGTGGTCTGTACTTCTGACCAACTGGCTATAGATTGGAGGTTCCCACGACCCCTCCTCAGGTTCAGTTAATTTGCTAGAGTGGCTCACAGAAAGAGAAACCTTTTACTTGGTAGATCACTGGCTTATTACAAAAGGAGTAACTCAGGAACAGCCAGATGGAAGAGATGCACAGGGCAAGGGCTGGGGGAAAGGGTGGAGCTTCCGTGCCCCCTCCAAGCCCACCATTCTACCCAATCTCCATGGGTTCACCAACCCAGAAGCTCTCTGAACCCTATACTTTTGGGATTTTTATGGAGCTTTCATTATGTAGGCATGACCAATCATGGACTCTGGAGAGGGCATGGAGCTGACAGTTCCAAGCTTCTCGTTGTGGCTTGCACTTCCTCATGACCAACTCCCCATTCCACCCAGGAGCCCACCTAGAGCCACCTCATCAGAACAAAAGCCAGTCCTATCACCCTCCTGGGCTGATTACAAGCTGGGTGCCAAGAGACAGCAGAGACCAATATATATATTTTTCTATTATCTCACAGGAATCAGGGCTTAGAGAAAACCACTTGAGTTGTTCTTGGCTGGGGCATTGTGGCCACAAATGCGTCTCTAACAAAGACCCTAGACAGTCGTTAGCAGCTCACTCTGCAGGAGAACACCTGCCTGCTCTCCGGGGGGCTGAGTCCCTGTCCAAGTAAGACAGCAAGCGTGGGCAATGTGGCTTCCACTTTGGGGATGCAGATCCAGTTGGTTTGGGAGAAAAGGTACATAATGATTGTGGGAAAGTGGAGGTGATAGACCTGCACCCAAGGGTGTATTATGTCCGGGCAGAAATGCATTCCTACTTTGGGGACGAGGGTAAGAAGCTAGGGGGAGTTTCATGAGCCCCTTTGCTTCCTGCGGCTTGTGCAATCCAAGGGTCTGTCCCTGGGTCTCTCAGGAAGCCTGCTGCTTCCTGGTCTCTCTGTTCCTTTTCCCTGACCCCGGTCGAGTGGAACTCCTGTCCTGGGGAGCAGGGCTGTCGTCCCTCCCCTCATCACAACCCACCATGCCCAGACGAAGCCTCCTCTTTCATTCAGGATTCAGGGTCTCTGTCAGAGTCCTGGGTAGAAGCAGGAATCCAAAGAGAAAAAGAACAGCAATGTCCTACGGTGACAAAAGGTAACGCGGCCTCTCTGTTGAGGGAATTTGCTGTACCTGTTCCGGAGGAGTCTTGGTGCCTACAAGGCACAGCCCCTGCTCTCAAGGAGCTCCCGGTCTCAGAGGAACCAGAGCGGCCAGCGAAATTTCCACCTGGAGCGCCACGAGCGGCCTCAGGGAGTCGCTAGGCCTGACTCCTAGGGGACAGAGGCCCCCACACTCTCACCGTAACACCCCAGGAGGTGCCCGGGGTGCCCAGCCGGGCCTGGTATTGTGGGTGGGTGGCCGAGCCGCCCAGAAGGAGGGGCCCAGTGGGCCTGGTATTGTCTCGGCCAGCCTCGTCAGGCTCCCTTTTGTCCGGGAGAGGCCCTGGCACAAATATGTCCATCCGGCCACTGTGATGAAGCCATCTGAGGCCATCACTGCACAAGAGAATACTGTGGCGGAACATTAGGGGTGAAGCATTAATAATTTTTTCCTCTTTCCCTTTGCCCTTTCAATCAGAGGGGCTGTTGGCACTTCCCTCTGGGGAGGGTGTGAAGGGTGGAGAGAAGAAAAGAATCTTCCAGACTCTGGTTTCCAAAAGTTTAGCCCTTAAGGGAGTGGAGAGAGCTCTGGGCATAAACAGGATGTTGAGAGGGAGGAAGGGGGTGGGGGACAGAGAGAGAAAGAAAGAGAGAGAGCCGTTCTTGGTTCCCTAGAAAAAGCACCTTGGTCTCTGGTCTGTGCCTAATCAGACAGCCAGAGCCCAGACCAAGGTGGGGGGCCTCTGATGTCCCTGAAGTAGGACTTGCTGGGGGGCCCATCACCTCCACTTCATGCTTTCCCATGACCTGAGATTCAGCTGCTGTTCTTCTCCCAGCCACAACATTCCCATCTGTAAAATGGGGACCCGAAGGCCACTCCCGGGTGTCCTGGTTGCCGAGGGCGGGCAGGGAGGATAGTCCAGCAAAATCTGGCCCGCACCCGCCAGTTCCCTCCCCCTCCGCACCCCTCTCTCTGCTCATCATCATCTACCCAGGAGAGGAAGCTTCATTCAGGGGTGGGGGGGCCTCCTCCGCACCTCCCACAGGGGCTGGCTTGTGGTCATGCTCAGTAAGTATTTGCTTAGTCAAATCTGTCACTTTGGGTAGGAAGACGAGGAGAGCGGAGGGTGAGGAACAAGAAGCCAGCGAGGAGTGTCCCCGCTGCCTGCCCACTGCCGTCATGCTGATCGGGGGCCTGCTGCCCACCCTCTGCACCGTGGGTAAGGCTGCCCGCACCTGTCGCACCTGTCGCACCTGTCGCTGGGCCCGAGGCCGGAGGCGTTGGGCTCCACGCGCCCAGGGAAGGGGCCCCTTTCCCTGAGGGTTCCCAGAGTTTGAGGTTGGGGGGCAAAGGGGAAGGAGATCCCAGGTCCCTGAGATCACAACTTGAGCCCAAGGCAGACGCTCAACCGCCGAGCCACCCAGGCGCCCAGGCTCTGCTGCTCTGCGTGCAATTTCCCTCCCGCTCGGCTCCCCCTAGCACCCAGCCAGCAAGTACTTGCTAAGCACCTAGAGGTGCGCTCGGAAAGGGTCCCCGGCCTCCGAGCGGCCAGCGTCCGGGCGCCAGATGCGTGGCAAGAAGCCTGCAAACAAGGTTCCCAGAAGATGCGACCACCGCAGTGAGGGGATAAGCAGGGGAACAGGAAGGAGCAGGGCAAGGAATGGCATGAAGCGGGGAGGGGGGATCTGCGGGGGTTGCCAGGCCGGAGGGGGGCTGAAGGCCTGCGGGGAAGGAGCCTGGTGCGCCCCGAGCAGGAGCGCAGGCCCCAGACTCCAGGGCTGGTGGCTGTGGGGGGAGCCGCGGGAACTGCGGGGCCCCAGGACACGTGTTGTGGCCGCCCCGGGGGACCAGAGGGGCCCACTGGGGCCAGGGCCGCCAGTCCCAGAGAGAGGATTGGGGCTTAGGCCGGGGCAGCAGTGGGTATGGAAAGAAGTGGAAAGTTCAAGAAGGCTCGGATCCAAGGAATGACAGGCTTTGTGGTGTGGCTGGACGCCAAGGAGGAGAGCCAGAGGGGCCAGCGCTGTCCCCTGGGTCATGCTGGAGGGAGATGGGCATGGGGCCGGAGATGCGGGCAGAGTTGGGGTCCCCGGGGGGGCGCACCGGCAGGTGGTCTCTGGGTGACAACCCCACCCGGACACAGTGTCCGGCGCTGGGCACATGGGGACAGTGTTTACAGCCAGTGTTTGGCAAGCTGTGAGTTGTGACCCCCCGGATCCTAAAATCAATTGAGCAGACCACAGTCAGTGATTGTAAAAAATTGAACAGAATAGGATAAAGCACGCCGAAGTGAAGCGCACTCATAAGAAAGGGCGATTATCTTTTCCCTTCCCCTTCTCTGACGCAGGGCTCCTCCAACTTCTCTCCGCCGCGGGCAGCATCTTCGACTCTGGTGGGTGTGAGGAGCTTCCCCCCATTGGGCAAGTGCTCGTCAGCCCCCGCCCTGTCCTCCCGATGGCCTGCATGCCGGCCAGTCTTGTTTCCCTCTCCTAGGGCATCTGGCTTGAGGCTGACCCCCTAAGGCCTGGGACACCCCCCCACCCCTAGCACCAGGCTCTTCATGCCCCTCCACCCCTCCACACAGGCAGGGCCTGGCAGGGCAGAGTCGCCCTTGACCAGCCCTGTCTGGGGGCGCCTACAAAGGCATGGGGTCAAGAAAGAAGAAAGTCAATGTGGAGACCCTGGGGCTTGGGGTTGGCTCCCAGGAGGGGTTTGACTGCTTGCTCCCATCTGTAAAATGGGGACCCGAAGGCCACTCCCGGGTGTCCTTCATTCATTCATCATTCATTCCTTCCTTCATTCATTTTCAACACATTGGGTCCTTCTGATGTGCTGGACAGTGTGGATATAATGATGAATGAGGTTCGTTCTTTGCTCCCAAATCGCTTGCGCCTGGTGGTGGAGACAGACAAGCAAAACGGTCCTTTTCCCCTGGGGGCTTTTACAAAATTCTGATGCAATCTGGACAAGTTCAGATCCTTGCTGTAGGCTGGGCCTGGACATCAGTGCATTTGGATAGCTCCCCTGGGGTTTCTGCCGTGCAGCCCCAGTCACGAGCCCTGCCTACCCCAGGGCCCGGCCGTGCTATGATCAAGGGTCTGGACCTGGGAACTCCATCCACGGTCTTGGTGTCCTGACATCATCCCTTCCCACCGGGCGGCCTTGGCCAAGTCACTTACCTCTCTGTGACTAGATTTCCTCATGTGTGAAGCAGACATGGTGATGTCTGTCCCAGGGAGTTGTTGGAAGGGTTCAATGAGCAACAGGCACACCACGAGTGCTCGGGAAACACTGGCTTTATTATTAAGTGCTAACAAAGGGCCACTGCAGCCAACGGGAGGGCTGCCCACCCAGGATGGGGCGGAGGGGGAGGCAGTTAGTTGGGCAAAGGGAAGGGGGAGATGAGGGCATGGGAGAATGAGGGATTGTGGGAGCAGGGCGTGGGGAGTAGCCAGTCCTTCCAGGCCAAGAGGGCAGCTTGTGCAAAGGCCCGGAGGCAGAGTGTCGTGTGAGTGCAGAGCCCATGGTATGGGTGGAGGGGGAAAGAAGAGGCTGGAGGGGCTGCCCGTGTGAGGCTGAAAGCTCTTTGGGGGCCAGGGGTGGGAGGGGCAGCTGTGCAGTGACGGCCTCTCGTGTCCAGCCCGACAGCTGATGAGCAATGGCAAGAACTTCTCGAGGGTGGAGGTGGAGCTGAGCTGGTCTGAGGCCCTGCAGCACTGCCGGCTGCACCACACGGACCTGGCCGATCTGCAGAGCATGAACAGTGTGAGCAGCATGAGGACCCTCTACTCCCTGACGAGCAGCACCGAGGCGTGGATCGGCCTCTTCTTCAACACGCGCCTTCGTGGCCTGAGCTGGTCCAGCGGGTCCACCTTCACGGCTCCGGTGTGGAGCTCGCTGCCCGTCTTCCAGGAGGGGGTCTGTGCCACCCTCTACTCCATCTCCATTTTCCCCAGCCTGGGGGCCAGCTCGTGCACAGAGCGGAAGCCCTTCATCTGCTACTACGGTGTGTTCAGGTCCTATTCTGGGCCTGGGCTTGCCCCGAGGTGGCTTCTCAAGAGCAAGTGGGGGGTGGCGGTGGGTGGAGGACACTCTCAAGTCCTTCAGAGGACAATTGACTGGTGCCCTCACCCCCTTTGGTATATTCCTCTCTGCAGCCTTCGTTTCTATCTCCTCTCTCATTCCCCAGACTCCACCAGACAAACAGGTGTAAGTCAGGGTAGAGAGAAAATGAAATCTGGCTTGTTCCACAGGTCTCCTCTGCCCAGTTAGGGATTTGGGAGAAGAAAAAGAAAGAGAGGAAAAAGGAAAAGACAGGTTGCCTGTGTGCTGCAGTGAGAGCAGAATCCCGTCTCTTCGTTCTCACAGAGCGTGGGGCTGGCTGCACGTCTCCTGGCGGCAGGGCTCCTGGGAAGCCGTGGATGGGAGCCAACTCCTCCCGGCCTCCCTGCAGGAAACCCCTGGTGCTCAAGGCACCCCATCCCGCCCCCATCCTGCCCCTTGCTGGCCCCTCTCTGCTCCCGCAGCCCAGGCCACTGACCCTTGTTAGAAAGGTGCTATAGGCAGATGCATATAGACCAGACTTTTCTGGTCAAAAGTGCCATTTTCTGATTTTCTCTGTCAGCCAAAGCTCAGCCCCAGCTCTATGGCACCCTAAGCCGTCAAATAGGGGCATGGGGCACCAGCCTGACACGTCCCCAGCTCCCCACCATGCTATGCGTTGCCTGTCACGGGGCCTTGAAACGTAGCCCATGGTGGTGAGGTGCGACCCTGGAATTCCCAGGCCCGCAGGGAGATGTTCAGGAGTATGAGTGTGTGGGGCTGGGAGTCCTCTCAAAGGGAGGGCAGGCTCTCCCCTCCTCCCTCAGGTGTTGTTGGGCTCCAAGGGGCCTTGCCCTGACTCCGCCCACTTCTCTCCTTCTCCCACCACCACGGCCTCTGTTGGGGCTGGGGCTGGGGGGTGGTGGGGGTGGCATCAGTCTTGCCTCTACAGTCAGTTCTCAACACAGAGTGAGCTGTAAAAAATGCAAATCAGGTCACTTTGTTTGAACATATTCAATAGGTTCCCTTAGCACTTAGGATCGCATCCCTTCTGAGGCCAACCGGGCCCTGCTTGACCTCTGGCTTCACCCCCTGTCCCGGTCCCTGGCCACACTGGCTGCTTTCAGCTCTGCACACGCAGCCTACCCCTTCCCACTTACGGCCTTGGCCGGGGCTCTGCCTCTGGTCTCCTTCCGGCCACTTTGCCAGGCCAGCTCTTTCTCGTATTCTCTTCAAGAGAATCCTGCTTGTCTTATTTCTGCTATTTTCCCAGGGCCTAGAGTAGGGTTTGCCACAAATAGGAACGCTCCCGCTTTCTCTTTATGTATTTCTTGAATAAGTGTTATAGACGTGGATGAGCCTGTCTGCCCTCCAGCTAGGCCTCTCCTGGCTTCAGCGGGGTGGTTCCCCGTGTCTGCAGAGGATCCTGGGTAGCCTTGTCCCCCCACCCTCACCTCCCCTGATAATGCGTGGTCTGTTTCTCTTTTACAGACCCTGCTGTGGGGCACCGCATCTTCACGGAGCCTGCTCCCAGCCTGACCACCTCTCCAAAGCCAGGTGCACACCTAGGAGCTTTGCCTTCCTTTTGACTTGTCCACCTGGACCAGCCGGCAGCGTCATCCACCTGCGGCCCGTCTGCTCCCCCGACCCTTGTCTGGCTGAGGCATCCCCCCACTCTGCCAGCCCCAGGCCGAACCCCATGGAGAGAATCAATCCGGTTTTATTATTCAGATTATTATTATTTTTTAAAGATTTTATTTATTTATTTGAGGGAAAAAGAGAGAGAAAGACAAAGAGAGAGAGAATGAGTGGAAGGAGGGAAGAGGGAGAGGAGACTTCTCATCGAGCGTGGAGCCTGACGTGGGGACTCCGTCCTAGGACTTGAGATCAGAGATCATGACCTGAGCTGAAGTCAGATGCTTAACTGTCTGAGCCACTCAGGCGCTGCCCACCCCACCCCCAACCTTTTTTATTTTTAAATTTTTTAAAAGATTTCATTTATTTATTCACGAGACACACACACACACACACACACACACACACACAGAGACACAGGCAGAGGGAGAAGCAGGCTCCATGCAGGGAGCCCGACGTGGGACTCAACCCCGGGTCCCCAGGATCACGCCCCGGGCCACAGGTGGTGCTAAACCGCTGAGCCACCCGGGCTGCCCCCCTCAACCTTTTTTAAAGGTTTTATTTATTTATTTGAGAGAGAGAGTATTCTGATTATTATTTATTATTTTATTATTCGGACAGGGAGGCCCTCCCGACTTGCCCAAGGTCGTCAACCAGACAGTGACGTTTATGGCCTGGGCTGCATCTGGTGTAAAGAATTCATGACAAAGGAAATAGAAACTCCTCCCTCCACCTGCTTTCTAGAGTTGGTTTTCTGCCTGCTATGGACCATGGGGCTGTGGAGAGAAGGTGCCCGGGCTTCCAGGGCAGGCGGACCTTGTCTGAACCTCGTCTTGCCGTTTATATGGCATGAGTTCGGGCGAGTCATCCCTGACCTGAGCCCCCTCTCCCCACCTGTAAAATGAGATTAATAACCCCTGCCTCTCAGGGTGAGAGTAAGGATTTGAACGGGTGACGCATGCCACAGCACAGCTCGGGGCAAGGACTACTTGTTGCTTAATAGAAGGTAGCTTTAAAAAATCAGTTTAGAGGGATGCCCAGGTGGCTCAGCGGTTGAGTGTCTGCCTTTGGCTCAGGGCCTGATCCCAAGATCCGGGATCAAGTCCCGCATCGGGCTCCCTGCGAGGTGCCTGCCTCTCCCTCTGCCTGTGTCTCTGCCTCTCTCTCTGTGTCTCCCATGAATAAATAAATAAATCTTTAAAAAATCAGTTTAGATAAGGAAGCTTAGGGAAATATCAGGCAAATCTTGATGGGCTTAGATGAATGGCTACATGTGAGAGTTTGGGAGGCCCTATTTGAATCTGAGGATGCAGCTCTGTTCTGCAAATAAAGGTGGTTCCTTCAGCAGCTCTCAGGAACGGGTCCCCCGGGATCTCGCTCCACATCCTTTCCCAACCTCCGTTGTTTGGAATCTGATGTGTGGGCCCGTGTGCTACAGATGAGACAGGAGTGGCGAGGGGCAGGGTGGGCGGCGGTGAGGGTTGGCCCAGGCCAGCCTCGGGCACAGTCCTGGGCTGTCTGAGCGCCCCTGGGAGTCAGGGCCCCGGGGGATGGGCCCACCCTGCCTCGGGTCTGGCACGTCTGGCCCTCGCCAGGCTCTTCTTTTCTCCCCGGCTCCCCTGCTAGGAGGAAAATCACATACTCTATTCTGTCCCAGCCCGGGAGCCTCCTGGGAACCAGCACCAGAGGCACAGCTCCTGGAAATCACCAATGAGGCTGCCTCTAAACCAGGATTATCCTGTCTTCCTCATCACGTCCCCACAAAGTTTAACTACCATTTAATTAAGTGCTAATTATTTGCACGCGCTGGTGAAACCATTCATTTACGTGGTTTCATTTAAGTCCTTAAATTCACTTAGGGGGGATTCACTTGGGGGATACCGTTCTCCCCATGGCCCAGATGATGGAACTGAGACATAGACTTCACTTATAAGGCTTTTGGCCACAAGGAGAGCTCCTCACCCCTGCTTTTCCTAATGCCCTTGTTCCCAGCTGCTGCCACGACAGCCCCTGCGTTCTCCCAGGGGGTATCTGGTCCTCGAGGATCAGGGGTCTCATGGGACCTGGCGCCCAGGGCCCGGGGCGAGGGCCGAGCCGACCAGCGCTCTGTGCCAGGGCGGCGATGAGGCCGGGCCGCCAGAGGTCCAGGGCCTCAGCCTGCGGGCTCCTGTTCTTGGTCCCCAGCCACGGTGCGCATCGGCCAACAAACCTTCACACGGTTTGACCAGGAGGTGACGTGGCGGGCGGCGCTGCTGTACTGTCGCAGGCACCACACGGACCTGGCCGACCTGCAGCTTGTCGCGGACCCGGCAGCCAAGGAGGCCCTGAAGTCCATCACGAGTGAGACCGAGGCCTGGATTGGCCTCTACTTCAACGCGGCCTCCGGGGCCCTGAGCTGGTCCAGCGACCTGGGGTCCAGCATCCCCGCCTGGCTCCAGGTGCCCCAGTTGGGGACCGGACTGTGCGCGGGGCTCCGCACCTACGCGCGCTACTCCCCCCGGGTTTATTCCCTGGACTGCTCTTCCCTGAAACCCTTCATCTGCTTCTACGGTACGTGACAGCCGGTCCCCGCGGGCCCCAGGCTCACGATGCTAGACTGGGACGGGACCTGGGGTGACCGGGCAGCGGGAGGCACCGAGGTTAGACCCAGGAAAGCACTCCTGGACTCCCAGAGTCTCGGGTAAGGGGAACAGGCTTTATCTTAATTCGGAGGGAGCTTTAAAGAATGGAATGGGCCCCATCGAATCTTAGGGCATTAGCTGTTAGCAACGGCAGTCGGTTCAGGGGCGATGTGGGGGTTCGAAGCAGCACTTGGGAATCAGACAGTCTACCACTCGCTAGAAATAGGGTACAGGGCATCTCTGAGCCTCTTCTTCCTCTTCTGGAACATATACTTAACAAAATGGTATTGGTGATACCCACCTGCTAGGAGGGCTTCAGAGACTGAATGTGAATGTATATAAAGGAGCCAGTTAGACGCCTGGCACCCAGGAAGCACCCAGCAGATACAGCTCTGGTCACTGCTTCACTGTAAGTCATGGGAGCCAGAGGCCTGCTGGTTATTCTGGGTCCTGGGTATAGCATGTTCTCTGCATAAGGCCGCATCCTGCCTTGCCCTTTCCTTCTCTCTTCTCTTTGTCTCTCTCTTTCTTTTTTTCCCTTCCTTCAGTCCACTCTCTCTCCTCTTTCTCTCTTTCTTCTTGCTTCTCTCCTTCCTTCCTTGCTAGCCTTCTTTCTTTCTTTTTTTGGCAATAGCTTTATTGAGATGTACCTTATTGAGTTCACATACCTTAAAAATCACCCCTTCGAAGTGTCTGACCCAGTGCGTTTTAGGCATTACAGGGGTGTGCAAGCATCACTGCTATCTAACTTTAGGACATTTTTATCACCCCAAAATGGAACTCCTTACCCTTGAGGGGGCACTCCCCCTGCTCCCCCACCCTCAGCCCAGCAGCTGCTAATGCACTTCCTGTCTCTGTGGCTGTTTCTTTTCACGTTTTGGATTTGATGAGAACTGTGATCCTAATCTGTAAAGCAGGAAGGATGGCTCCTCCCAGGCAGGGCTCCCTCGAAGATTAAAGACCATGCAAGGCCCCACCTGTGACTGGCACACGCAGGTGTGTGAAAGGGGTTGGGCTGGGTGGCCGCTGAGGCCTTAGGTGACACAGACCTGGGGGCGTTCTGTCCCATGTCAGCCCTGCCCTCACCACTCTCCGTATTTCCTTGCAGACCCCTCCATCGGGCACCGGGAGTCCGCCGCTCTTTATCCATCCTTTATCGGTCCCTCCTCAGATGTGACTATGGAGCCCACGCTCAGGCCAAGTATATCCCTGCTTCCTATTCCATGTAGGTGCTTTGGACCTGTTCTCAGCTGGGTGCCAGGGCCTCCAGGGTCTGCAAGGTGCAGTAGCATGTGGTGGGCCCCATCGGATCCCCCCAGAAGAGGATTGCCCAGCCCAGCCGCCGGCCCCCTGCAGGACCAGCTGGGGGTGGAGAAGGGGACTCCGTCACCATCAACCCCACCCCTTAGATTGAGCCACTAACTTGCAGCCCCAGAGTCAAGAGGCTCCAGAGAGGCTGTGTGGCCCCCTGTGTGGTGATGAGGGCTGGCCTGGGAGACGGAGGGGGAGACGCTGGGCAGTGTTCCCGAGACCTCATCAGAGAGTCCTTTGAGGGTTTGGCATCCAGAGAGGGAAACCCCAGAGAGGTGCTTGTCAAATCCCTTGTGATTTCGGGCTCCTCTGGATGGAGAGATGTGGGATGCGTTGTTGGGACTAAGTGGGAGGACATGTTGGCAACGACAGTGATTACATTCCTATAGCATTTTTAAATTCCTGAAACATCTTTGCAGCTATTACCTCATTTTGCTTCCCAAGAGTTCTGAAGCTAAGCAGGGTAACTGAGGATAAAACACACTTCTTCTGGCTTCCTTCCAGGTTCCCAAGTCTGACAAAGGCATTACTGCCTTTTCTGAGGACACAGAGAAGTTAGAGGACTTGCTCATAGTCACACAAGGGCTTCATATATATTCTGGGGGCCCAAAGAAAAATCAGGGGCCACTCTCAAGGAGCCCAAGGCCCTGCCAGTTGGTGTTGTGTGTAAAGGCACAGGCATGGTAGGGACATAGGAGTGTCCCAGTCCTGTGATGATCTGGATTTCCTGGAGGAGGTGATTCTGTGCCTGTTTAGGACCATGAGGAGGAGTTTGCAAAGGGGAGTGGAGGATTACAGGTCAGAACTGTAGGTGGGATGGGTGCTTAGCCCTGAGTGGGGACACCAGGATCGGCAAGGGAACCCCCTGTGAGCTGTAAGGGAATGGGGCCTCACAGCACCTGGGTGGCTCAGTGGTTGGGTGTCTGCCTTTGGCTTGGGTGGTGGTCCTGGGGTCCTGGGATCGGTCCGTGTCAGGCTCCCTGCGGGAAGCCTGCTTCTCTGTCTCTGCCTCTCTCTGTGTCTCTCAAGAATGAATGGATGGAATCTTTTTTTTTTTTTTTTTTTAAACAATGTTTTTTTTTTTTTTAATTTTTATTTATTTATGATAGTCACAGAGAGAGAGGCAGAGACACAGGCAGAGGGAGAAGCAGGCTCCATGCACCGGAAGCCCGATGTGGGATTCGATCCCGGGTCTCCAGGATCGCGCCCTGGGCCAAAGGCAGGCGCCAAACCGCTGTGCCACCCAGGGATCCCGAATGGATGGAATCTTAAAAAAAATAAAATAAAATAAAGGAACGTGGCCTCATCCTGAAGGCAACAGCACCAGGGTCTGGGCCTGGGCCTGTGGGCAGATTTGGTTCAGAAGCTGGTGACCTCTGTCATCTGCTTCCCATCTAAGGTCTAGCCTGGCCCCTGCCTGGCTGCCCCAGGCCCGGCTCACCCCAGTGGGCACTGGGTGGGCAGGGCCAGGCCTGGGAGAACCGCAGGGCCACAGCCGGGCCCGGGAGCCGAGGAGGCCACGCTGGTTCCCTGCTGCTGATGCCCCACCGGCCAGGTCACCACACACTGCGCATCCTGCCTCGGCCGCTGGCCACCACCTGTCAGCGTCCTTGTCCCGGGGCCCTGGCCTTGGCAGGGTCCTGGGCACAGGGGCCCCCTCGTGAGCCCTGGTTCCTGCCGCCGAGCTCAGCTCCCCCACCCCAGCCCAGGCCACGCGCCCTGGCGACCCCTAGCCCCGCGGGGAAGGGCCCAGAGCCTGCAGGTAACCGTCCTGTGGCCGAGCCCAGCTGGCCCCCCGGACACCCTCCTCTCTGTCCTCACGCGGGGCCCGGGGCTGCTCTGACCTCTGCTTCCAGCCTTGCCCCTGTCCCCATGTCCCTGGGGGCCCCGTTACCCAGGGCAGGCCCGCGACTCTGCAGGAGGTGGCCCCCCCCCCCGCTCCACCTCTCAGCTACCCCCTGGAAGGTGGCACCTCCAGCCTCCCGGCAGCATCCCGGGGACCGGAGAGAGCACCTCGAGGCCCTGGGGCTCAGGCGCGGCAGCAGGGCGGGGAAGACCGCTGGCAGCTGGCCGGGCGGAAACGGGCCCACCGGCTCGCTGGGCTTGGGGACGCCACGCCGGCCGGGCCCCAGCGCCCGCTCCCCCTGGGGGCACTGAGGCCGCGGGTCGGGTCGTGTGCTGGGCCACAGCTTCCCTCCCCGGCTGCAGCCCAGGACACTCGCCGGGGATCCCACGCAGCCAGCGCCAGCTCGCCCTCTCCTGCCCGCTGGATGATCTAGGGTGGGGGTCTCGGAGAGAAGCAGTCTGTTTTGGCTGTAGGAGTTTGATGACCAAGTTACTCCGCTACTTACTGTGTGGCCCTGGGCAAGTTTCCTGATTTCTCAGAATTTCGTTTTTCTCATTTTTAAAGTCAAGAAAAATATCAGTGTCATGAAGTAGTTTTCAGTGCCCGGCATCTGGCAGTTAGTACCACTGTAATGTCAATTCATTAGTGAGATGTTTAGTGATTCTATCTCCTGTCTCTGTCCTTACTCAGAAGGCAGGGCTGGTCTCGTCTCACTTTATCGATCATAAATGATTATGAGTGATCAGATTATGAATTATTGAGATTGAGGCATCGCACAGGGCAGGGGCTAATCGTATGCCTCTTTGTGTCTTTCTGGGCCTGGAATAGTGATTTACACATTGGTGGATGATTCCATTCAACAATCACTTCCTGAGGACTGGTTTCGCAAAAGGCCCTGGAGTGTGGATATCAGGATGAGCACGGCCCATTTCCTGTTTCTAAAAGCTTATCCTAACAGGGACTAAGACAACAGCGTGCTGTGGGCTGAGCCAGAAGTGTGAACCGAGAGCCCTGGCAGGATGGCGACCCGTTCACTCCGCCTGGAAAGGTGGTGGTCATTGGACAAAACTTCCGTGGAGGATTTCAGGCAGCAACACTGGCACATTTTCCCCGGCAGAGGGAACAGCATAGGCAAAGACAAGTAGAAGAGCAAGTGTGTGGTTTGGGGAGCACAAGCAGTCTGATGTGACCAGAGTATTGGCCACAGATTTGGGAAGGGAGTGGCAAGGGGAGAGGGGTGGAGGGGCAGAGTCTGGAGGATGTGACCCTGCTGTCCATAGAGGCGTCAGAGGCTGATTTCAGCAAGGGAGCCAAGCGCTCAGCGCTGTGGTTCAGAGGCCTGGTGGATAAGGAAGGGCCGCTGTGTGTCTCAGGGTGTGAAAGGAAAAAGGCCCGGCTCACCATTATACGTGGAGTACATTCACGCCAATACTGAGAGGAACCAGCCCCAACGCCCCCCCCCCCCCCCCAATCCTTAGAAGAAAAGGCTGGAAGGAAATATGTGAAAACGTTCATTCAGGTTCTATTCAGGTGAGGAGGCTATGAGTGTTTCTCCTGTTCTGTGTTTCTGGGTTTTATAAATTTATTCATCTCACTAAAGAAATGGACAGTGCTTTGGGTGGGGAAAGAAGAGGGCGTTTGGAGGGGAGGCCGACCAGGAGCAGAGAGGCAGGAAGGGCAGGTGTGCGGAGAGGCTGTTGCACCGGGCAGGACGCGGGACTCAGGCCCAGGGCAGCAGGCCAGCAGTGTGAGGGGGACGCCAGGGAAGTGGCTTTACATCGTTTACAAGTGACAATAATTGAGGAAGTATAAATACACATATTTAAAAATGCTCAGCTTTGTTCATTGAATTACAGAAATACAAACTAAAAGCAAGATGCATTTACAAAATAATTTTTGTGGGGGGGGGCAGGGCCAGAGGGAGAGGGAGAGAGAGAGAGAGAGACTCTTCAGCAGGCTCCACGCCCACCGTGGGCTCCATCTCAAGACTCTGAAGATCATGACCTGAGCTGAAATCAAATCAGATGCTTAACCGACAGCCACCCAGGCGTCCCTTAAAATAATATTTTTACCTACCAGTTTGGCAAAGATTTAAGGGGGTGAGAATGCTGAGGAGAATGTGGGAAAATCAGCGATCCCAGACACTGGATGGGACAGTAAAGTGGTGCTACCCTTCTGGCAAGCCTGTCAGTTCTGACATGGGGAACTTCATTAAGAAGCAAGAGTACAAGGTGCACGCACACGTCTGCGTCCTCCACTCACAGGGCCGTTTATCGCAGCGTTGTTTCCGACAGTGAGAACAGGAGGCGATCTAATGTCCACTAGAAAGCCGGCAGATGGGTTTAAATAAGTTAGGGTACATTCCATGAAATACTGGGCGGCCCTTAGAGAGAATGAGGTAGATCTTTACTCATTCAAATGAAAAAACTCATGTGTGTGAAGAATATTATATATATATATGTATATATATATATAAGATTTTATTTATTCATAAGAGACACACACACACAGAGAGAGAGAGAGAGAGAGAGAGAGAGAGAGAGAGAGGCAGAGACACAGGCAGAGGGAGAAGCAGGCCCCATGCAGGGAGCCCGACGTGGGACTCGATCCCGGGTCTCCAGGATCACGCCCTGGGCTGAAGGCGGCGCTAAACCGCTCGCTGGGCCATCAGGGCTGCCCGTGAAGAATATTCTAGAGCAAACTGTGTACAGCCGCTGTCCCTAGGTCAGGGGACGTGGTACTTTTGTTTAAGTATTTTACAATAACATACCACAAAAGCAATACGGCTATTTCCATATTTGGAAGGAAAAAAAGTGACACCTGTGCGGCACCAATGGGCTTTGGGGGACTGAACATGAGGCGGGGAAGGGAGCCGCCAGGGGTACGTGGGGTCGCTGCGCCTGGAGAGGGGCGGCCACACGGGGCGCGGGAGGTGCTGAGGGGAGGCTGCGCGGTTTTGGAGTGCCACCTCTTGATGGGAATGCCGGGCTCCCTGGCTGCCACGGTGGGGGCTCTGCGAAGCTGGCAGACATCGGGGCATCGGGCCCGTGCGGTAGGGCCTCCTGAGAGAAAACACTCTCTCCTGGGAAGAATTCTCATCATGTCGCCCAGGGGCCAAGAATCCTGAGGTGAGGGAGTGTCACTGTGAGGACCAGGGTGGTAGCTCACGGGCGCGTGACGAGGTTTGGCCCGACCGAGCTTCCCCGACAGGCTGGCTCCTGCAGCCGCCGTGTGCGGAGCGGGGGCTGCCCACGCCCGGCCCCAGTCTCAGACCACCTTGCTCCCGGCTGTGTGCAGGGACTCCTGCAGCTGTGACCACTGAAGGGACCGGTGGCGACACGGGAAGTACAGCCACCGCCACTCGGGCCCAACATTTGAGCTCGACGGAACACCCGGAGTCTACAGGAACCGGCCCAACGCCCACATCAGGTAACGCCTCCTGGTGGCGGGGCTCCCACTCCTGACGGGGGCAGCTAAGTTGGACTGACAGCCCCTCCACAGCGCAGGGCGCTCGAGATCCTCGCGGAAACGGCCTGAACGTTGGGGAGGGCACAGGAGCAGGGACAGGCCCAGGAGCCTGGAGTTGGCTCCCCGACAACTGCGGAAGCCTGGGGAGAAACTTCCTCGCCTCAGCATCTCCTTTCTCCTCTGCACGAGGAGGGTGGTAAAAGCTACCCTGCCCACACCGTAGGGTTGTGGCGAGCCCCGACGTAGTGCTGCAGAGGTGCCTTATCAACTCTGAAGTGCTATACGAAGGAGCCCCAGAAGGGCTGTTTCCCTGCGATGGGTGCAGTGGCTCGCGGCCCAAGGCTGAGCTTGTTTATAGGCTCAGGGAACCTACTTAAGAGTTTTCTGGGGTAAAGTTGGCCTTTAAAATGTGGGTCCAGGGAGAAGTGAACATTTCCAGCGTGATGTGGAGTATCTACTTAATAGGTTAAGAGGAGGAGGAAAATACAGAAGAGACAGAAAATAATGGCCTGCGGGTGGCCAGGGTGTGGGGCGGAGCTGGCACTGCCCACCGCCTTCGGGAGGCTCTTTCCTGTCCGCGCTGGCTGGCTGGGCCGACTGTGGCTGAGCATTCCCCTGCTCAGCAGCTGCTTTCTTCCTCCTTTTGGAAATCCTAAGTCACCAAGTAGCATCTGTTGTAGCCACCGGGGGCAAGCCTGAGTGCTAAGACCTTAAAGTTTCCAAATGGTGATAGGATCATTTTCACTGAACCTGACAGCACTTGCTTTTTCAGGGCAACTCTTTGGAATCCTGAAAGCAGATTTTACCATCCCAGCTCTGCTGGACCCACAGGATATGAAAGACCAATTTTTGAATGAGGTGAGACTTCAGACCACTTCTGATGTTGACCGGTCAGATGACTTGACAATGCAGGGCAATACTGTGGGAACCAGTATACCTAGAGAAAAAGCTTTGGAAAATTAGCTCATCTGTTCCTATTGCCGTCACTCTGGCTCATGGTAACAGGCTGGTGTGTTGCTGAGACTTTCAGATCTTTTTCTTATTCTAACGTTTTGTTCCTAAATTTTTTTTTTTTTTAAATCAAGACAGCATAGTCAGAAGGACCTGAATTAGGGTCTTGCCATTCTACTTATTCGTTCTGCGACCTTGGGCGAGTAACCTAGTCTTTCTATCGGTTTCCTCATGAATTAGAGCCAAGAAAACCTAACTCACATGGTTAGTATTATGATTAAATGAAATATTCCATGTAAAGTGCTTAGCAAAAATTAGCATGTAGTAAGGGCTCGATAAATGCAAACATCAGCTGTTACTTTCAACATTATTATTTTTCTGAATATACATTTGTTCCAGGCTCCCCACCACCACCCCGTTCTTTTAGAAGATTATAAGATGGGATGTTGTAAAGAGGAAGAATTGTTCCTAAATATTGCAACAGAAGCCTCAAACTGATTTTGAAATGTGGCCGAAGGGCACATTTTGCCGTCATGCCAGATAATAATCATAAGATGTCAGAGCTGGAGAGTTCCTTATATAGGTCCAATCATAATGTTACAGACAAGAAAACAGACTGGCATTTATCTGGTAGCTTACTGCCACTTACTCACAGGCCAAAGAAATAGCACCCAGGCAACTTATTCTAAAATCTCACAAACTCAAGTGTCTGGAAAGAACAGTAGTGTGTGTGTGTGTGTGTGTGTGTGTGTGCGCGCACGCGCACGTACATGCATGCTCACCCGCGTGCGTACGTGCACTGGCCTGCTGGGGCCTGGGGAGAGGAATTGGAAATTCGGTGCATTTTGCTATTGAAAGGACAGGTGGAACTGATGCAATTCAATATCTGACCTTTTTTTTTTTTTTTTTTTTTTTTTTTTTAGCAGAAGTTCAAGTAGTAAGACTGTAGTGCTGAGTATTAGGTTTTCAAAAGTCAAGGACCCCTTTTTTTTTGGGTGGCTGGGGGAGCCAAACCAGAAACCATCTTTCTTCTGGTTTAAGGTAAAGCCAATAATGGGAAATGGGGGAGTCAAAACTCCATGGTGGTTTTCCATCTTTGTGAGGACGTATCTATTCCCTACTAATGGAGAGGATTTCTACTGCACAGATTTACAGGATGGAAAAGGTGGGGACAATGTGTGTGTGTGTGTGTGTGTGTAGGAAGGTAGAGTATATATTACTAGTTTTAGCAGCATTTTAAATTCCAAACAGGAGGTGAGGAAACACCTGGAGCCAACTTACCCCAGGGCAAGGGCCAGGGCCAGAGAAACACTGTGGCACACACACAGAGCTCAGAGCTCACCCTCCAACTGCAGGGAGAAGCCCCTGGGGAACTGGAAAAAAGAGCTCAACCCCAATCCATAGAGAGATAGTTAATTGGTCAGAGCTCAAGAGGCATCCGCCCTCTTTTCTGATTTCAAAGTTCGATAGTGATTCTGAGAAACAGGATTGAGGAGCACCAGTTAAAGCCATCTGTTTTTGTTCCTTTTGTCACCAGACTCCCCTGCCCCTTGACCCTGGGGCTGTGTGTTTGTGTGTGTGTGTGTGTACGCACGCGTGTGTGTGGTGGGGGTGGTGCTGCACGGTGGCAGAGTATCCTAACAAAACTCATTTATGCGCTTTCCCACTAGGGAAGGTGCTAAGGACAAAAGGCAGGCAGCTGAGACTAGGAGGTCACAAGATCACAATGGTGGTTTCTTTCTTTTTGATGTTTCAGATCCAAGAAGTCTTAAAACTTACATTAGGTCGTGAGCAATTCAGACTGAAATGGGTTGGCTTCGAAGTAAACAAAAAATAGCCCACGTCGACTGATCTGCTGCTTCTCACTGTCTTCTCTGGATTTGGAGTCAATTTTAGTCTTTAAATTCCTAGTAGATCAGACTCTACATTTGTTCCAGGCTTTTAGCAATAACTCCAGATAGAGGCTAACTGACAGAAGTTCAGATCCGCGCCCAGCACAAAAGAAAACTATCTGGGAGGAGAAAAACCTGGCATTCTTGGATCTTACGGAACGAGATAGGTAAACAGAAGCACATGGAGGCATCTGTGAACAGTAACCTGGAGAATGACAAGCAAACCAGAACAAAAAACCCCCAATGAAAGCAACAAGAATCCTGAAACAAACCCCATTAATCTACCTGGGGAATTAAGAGAGGCCACACTTCCAATGAAGTGAAGGGCACTTCCCCTATGAGCCATTAACTACTGAAGAGATTTCAAGGTCTCCAGAATGAGGAGCTCTCTGAGGGCATTGTCACAGTACAACATACTAATGCGAGCTGCCTGTCCTACTACAGCTAAATATTTCTCACCTGTCAATTGAGAAAAATTATATATAAAACCTCAGAAGAATATTCCTGCATACATTTCCTTTCTGGTTTTTCTCCTGTGTTCTAATCACCCAGATACATGCTAGAAGTAAGGTGGTAAATATGTCAAATACAGTAGCAACTTTAGTCTGAAATGTTTAAAGTTAAAGTTTATTTGTATTCTTTGTAGGAATATCAATAAAAGACCTCAAACGTATCTATATCTGTACATGTACAAGAACCATCAAAAATTATTCACAGAACAAAAATAAATCTTCTTTAGAACAAACCCAGGTAATGAAATGCAGATATGGATCTCACATACGGAACAATCTAAGTGCTACCAGCACAAAAATATGGCTTTAAAAATAAAATAAAATCTTGGGTTTTGTTTTTCTAAGGTGTATTTCTCTTTCTTGAAATAAAAAATAAATTATTTAGAGCTATTATTGTAAAATAGTCATGTGTGTTAACACATTCTTATTAAGGCCCTGGAGATGAAAAACAAAATCAAATTTAGCAGGTAAATTCCTCACAGGTGTGATTTAGGTTAGTGTGCTGCTGTCCGCCTGGGTTAATTTTAATGTAACTAAGAAATATCTAAGCACCAGTCAAAATTTAACCTTTACTAATTATTTCCACTTTTCTGCAGGATAGTGGTTATTGAGTCAATTAGTATTTAACCTTTTGGTGAACTGGGAACTGAAATTTCTCCCTTGGGAGTTTAAAAATGACAAAAATACAGTATTTATACATGAACATTTGAACCCCCTCCCACAGAGGATGGAGGCCCCTAAACCACAGCTTCCTTGGAAATCTTTTACAACAACAGATAAATCTGGTTTTAGGTCCCAAACTAAAACATTTCCTAGTGAAAATGGAGGGCATTTGAAGGAAAAATGAGACAGGAGTAGGAAATGAAAAATGCAGGCTGAGACAGAGGCAAAACGGCCACTTTGCTTTCCTGGGGTGGCTTGCTGTGTTTGCCAAGTCTTGCCAGCTTGCTTACTCAAACACCTGAGGATTAACTGCCCAGGAACCAAAGCTCCTTCTTTCTGGATCCTACTCTCAGATCAGTGACATTCAGCTTTCTTTCTATGACCCGCATGGCATAAGTGATCCTATCTAGGATTCTTGAGACAATGTCAGACCAAATCAATTTCAAGTCACTTTAACTTATATATACATATAACAGATAACACATATGGTACATTTTAAAGAGGAGCAGACCATGGTCATAACATCTAACAAGAGCATAAAATCTAAAAAGCTCAAGAAAGTCTGGAAATCACTGTTCTGCAAGATGGATTAGCATTCAGAAAAAGGAGGCCCTAGGAATTGTGTTTTATGTGGGTGCACATGTGTTGTCTACAGAGACTACCTTTCCATTAATCTATGTATTTTAAGATCTGGCAAACGATATAAATCCCATTTCCTTGAACCTTTGGGCTACTGAGAAGGCTGCTGTGCATTAGTCCCTGTTTGGATCATGTATCTTCCTCAAGTTCTTTCAGTCTTCATAAGATATTCTGTCTCATGCAAATTTCATCACTTTTGTCCTTCCTAACCTCAAGGGAATTCATAACTGGGTCACGACAACAAGATAATGCTTCTAGAACTAATAACAATCACTGGAACATGGAAAGGGATTCTAATTAAAAATTCGACACACCAACACATCTTGCTTTTATAAGACTAGTAAAATAGGTTCTTCCAATTGACACATTGATAGAAACAAAGTATCCCAAATTCTTGGCCCTCAGGTAGAGGGTGGGAAGGCAACTATGTACTATTGGGGCAAGCAGCAGATTTCACACATGACTTGAGAAGGGGAGGGGGAATGGAGAAGACCCTTTTAAAGGTTTCCACAATCTGCAGGAGAAGGTGGCCCCCATGGGGGTCACTGACAATACACTGAAGCAGTGGCACGGACTCAGGAGCTGCTGGGCCAGGCTCAGCAATAAGTCTAGTCTGGTGTTCAGACTCAGCTCAAGGTCACATGCGACTAAGGTCATCCCAAAGAGGATTCCTTCCTCAAGTTGTCCCACAACCAGCCTTCTCAGGAACTCTGAACTGGAGATAACTAGAATTTAATCAAGGTAGAAGTCAAAGCAAATACTAATGCAAACTCACTTGATGGCTATTGTCTTGCTCCAGGGTTTCTGAAAAAGAACTGCTTCCTACCTGAGTTACCTCTGAGGACATAGTCAGAGCTTGGAGCCAGAAGAACCACAGATCCATAAACGAAGGCTGAGGTCGAATAAGATCTGGAAAGCTTTAAAGTCCAGCTAATTCTCAAGGTCATACAGCAGTCAGAGACAGACACTCCTGCTTTTTCTTTCACTGTCCAACACCATCATAGGGAAAGGTGGCAGCAGACAAGAGAAAGCGACCTGTGACCAACTTGATACTGAGTGAACACAACAAGAAGTTCTAAGAGCACAATGAGCCCAGTCTACCACATTCTCCTTATGGACAGGCCACCCTGGACTCCGATGGCACCTTGGTGAGAGCACCTGGAACATGGGAGATGCTCAAGGGCTTGTTTTAGTTACTATGTATCATCTCCTATACTGTATATACTATAGAGACTCTGGGAACATGAGGACCTGATGGAAATGTCACTCTTTCTGCTGCTTTGGCCCAGAAAGCCTGTTGCTCAGTGATACAAAAAGCGAGAATGAAAGCTCTTTCCTTAATTTCTAGATCCCATCCACATTGTCTTTGTTAACAGCTAAGTCTGGCCATCAGCTTAGACAAGCACTTGGCAAGCATTACCCCTGAACCCCAAATTCTGTTTGATTGCGGTCCAGGCTGCAGCCTGCAGTATGGTGATATGTGGGTGGAAGGGAGAGTCCAGGCCATGGCTATCTTAATCCACCTGCCTCTCTTCCATTTTATGCCCTCTGCTCCACACAACATACCTATGTAGTTATTTGGGCTGAAGAGAAGCCAAATTAAGCAATACCTCCATAAAAATGATCAGCTGTTTGCTGCAGTCTTCCACACTTAAAAAAATCTTTCAGAATAAGTTGTATAGATTGCAGTTTCTCTAAAGAAATACTCAGAAAAATATTTGGATAGGAACAAGGCTCAAAGGATAATCTAATATATGTCAACAAATCTGAACTTCTAGCCTACTTCTAACTTGATTTTCTTAACTCTTTTCTCTGCATTCAAGATTAACATAATGTTTCCAAACATTTTGGGCACTCAGTCTTCCAAAGAAGGCAGCCCTCTAAAGAGCTCCTACAATGTCAACAAGATCTACGCAGCCATCAAAAGCACATTTGATATTTTTGTGTCTCCCCCAACCTCCCAGTATAGGTGAGCTTATTAGGCCTCTGTAACCCATAACCATCACTTCAGAGCTTCCAAACCTGAATGGAGGACATCAGCCAAGTTACATACTTTTAAGGCCGCCGAAACCAACAACTGTTTTACCAGGCTTCTTACTGCACAATGGAAGGCTTTTGCAGAGAATGGATTAAAGGTGGCTGGGGCTGGGAATAGCTCTAAAGGAGGCCATCTATGTTTATACTCCCAGGCCAACAAAGGGCGCAACTTTAGCATTTGTAGGGTGGTTTTCCTATTAAAGTAAGTGATCTTGTCCACGATGTGCCCTAAGCTTAGAGGGAAGAGGTAAGAATTTGTAAAACCACCACAAAGGGCCAAAAAATAACCAAGTGCCAAAATAGGAGGGCACAAAAACCAGGTAAGCACGATGAGCAGCCTGTTTCACATCTCTGACTGGCAGACGAGAAGATTATGTAGGAAGTGTTTCAAAAGGTTGTGGGATGGGGGCCGTTGGGAGCTTGTATGATGCAGAGTCCAATACAGAGATCCACCCGAGAGGGGGCAGCACTCAAGAGGTCCAGGCGCCGTGAAAGAGAGGCTGTTCACACAGATGCCAAGTCTGGGCTTCACCCAACGGAGGACAGGATCAATGTTCTCGTTTCCTTACAATATTCTATTATGTAGAAACACTCACTCTATGTTTAGGGCTCCCTCAGGTCTTTTTCTTTTTCCTCCTCTCCCTTTTTCCTTTCCTTTCCTTTTTTTTTTTTTCTGAATTTCCTTAAAGTTTATAATTTAAAATAAACACCACTAACTCATTTGAGAAATGTTGCTTTCTCAGGATAAAGAACTGCTTAGATCTTGCTTAAAGAGATTCAAAACCCTTTTAACATTATATCTGACAGCAGAGAAGGCATGAACTTTTCCTATTTGTGCAGTTATATGTACATATGTGTGAGTATATATGCATATATATTTGTATGTATGTCTGTTTTAACACGTAACATTCTATACTTCTGATAATCAAGTTTGCATTCAAGATGACATTTCACACCTCTGGAATAAAGGAAGTAAATTAGCTTCCACAACTGTTTCTGTCCTACAATAAAGCCAAGGATGACAGTTGGTGAAACTGAGTCATTATTGCCAAATCTACGAAGAGCATGGGAGTAACAACTGGAATGCATGGCCC